GGGAAAACAGGAAAAATTGTGTTAAAGAAAGTTATTTCCCAGTACAGGTGACCTTGAAACCAGGGCAGGGGGAAGAATGATAATCAGGAAAGCTAAAGAGGAAGTGAGAACCATCTGTGGTCAGGGTGACCTCTAAAAATAACTGCACATGTAGACTATAGGTGAGCAATGTCAGTGGCTTCCTGGACAGACATGCCCTCCCCTCAGGAAGAGGTGGCACTGTCCCTCACTGTAGGTCTCTCTGTCCCCTCCCAGTTGGTCCGTGGGGAACTGGAGTACCTGCAGCAGGACGTGTGGTGGAGGGACACAGAGCCGAGTGGTCCAGTGCACGCAGCGAGCCCATTACAGAGCAGAGCGGGTCTCGGCCAGCCTGTGCCCACAGCCTGTCCCTGCCAGCCGACAGGCCTGCCACCCCCAGAGCTGCCCGCCCACTTGGAGTGCTGGACCCTGGGCAGAGGTACCTTGGGCAGGGTTGATATGGGGGCGGTGGCAGCAGGGCCCCTCTTATGCAACACAGAGCTGGGTTTTCACCAGGCCTTGCAGGGCCTGTGGCCTAAGTCGTCCCCACAACCCCCCCAGCAAGGTGTGAGGATTCCTTGCTGGGAGCTGAGGCTTACTCTCCCTATGCAGTGCTCTCGAACCTGTGGGAAGGGATGGAGGAAGAGGTCCGTGGCCTGTAAGAGCACCAACCCCTCAGCCAGGGCGCAGCTGCTGCCTGACACCCTCTGCAGCTCAGAGCCCAAGCCCAGGACTCACGAAGCCTGTCCACTTAAGCGCTGCTACAAGCACAAGAAGCTACAGTGGCTTGTGTCTGCCTGGTCCCAGGTAGGTGCGCCTGGTCTCAGATAGATGCACCTGGTCCAAACAGAAGAAGGTTGACCAGCTCTCCCCTTGGGGCCATATTTCTTCATCTGGTTTCACTGCTTCCCTCTCCTCCCCCCTTCTCCTCCTCCCCTTTTTGCTCCAACTCTGCAACCCCATTCAGGCCACCATCTGGCTTCAGCCAACATTAAGGCACTCCATTCCTAGACATGTCCTTTAGTTTCCGTGGGTGTTGTGGAAACAGACAGACAGACTGAGTATAATTTGTGGGCATCCAGGTGGGCAGTCCTCCTGAATATTTAACAGTGTCCTTAAGCAGTGCATCCACAAGGTCATCACACAGTTGGTGCTAAGATGAGGATGAGTGGGTGGATGGGGTACAAGTGAGAGAGTAGGGGACATTCATCATGCTCACAGTGAGATCATGGGGACCCACTTAACCCCAGAACAGCTGCAGCCATTTCCCAGGAAAGACTTACACAACATAGAGCCAGAGGAGATTGGGCTACCGTGGGAAAGTTAGAGGACCCGGACTGTTTTCAGAGACCAGTGTCCATGGGCAGTTCTTATATTAGAGAAGACACTGCTCATGTTGGGTTTGCTAGAATCAAAGCCTTGTGCTGCTGAAGTCCAGAAGCCCCCTTATTTGCATTATTTGGGGACTGCCCTGGCCCTACTATGCTGGGACTAACAGAAGTTTGGAGTGCTGAAGGCTTTATGACTAGCTTTGGCCCAATTGAGGGCTGGGACAGCCTGTGAGGGCGCAGACAGAGCTGCCGCCTCTCCCCAGCACAGGCTCCCACACTAGAGAGAGGGCATTGGGACAGGTGTGGGGGCTGCCTGAGGGGCATGTCAGGGCTCCTTAATCATGCTGTGGTGTGTGTCAACTCAGAGGTGGTGTCAATAAACCCCGGAAGGACACCAGAAAGCTAACATGGGCAGAATGACAGTAGCACCCCACCAAGTGGAAACCCATGGGAACGGGCATTGAGAGACCTCCTCCATAATCCCAGAGCTGTCTCTCTGCATTTCCACAGCACCTGTGAAAGGAAAGCCCCTAGATCCTGACCCCAAGTGCCTCTGGGACAGACAGAGTCTCCTCCCAGCCCACACCTGGACTGATACCTTCATCAGGGTGGGGCATGAATCAATGAAAGGGTGGCTGTGCCAACCAGGGCTTCTAATCCCATTCAGACACTGTTTCAGTTTGCTACTGAAAAGTAAAAGCACGGTCACTCACTGAAGCAAATGCCGTGGCTAAGGGAGAACTCCGGATTCTCTCACCTGAGACACAAGAATGTCGGCATCTCCTGGGACTGAACCACACTCCTTAGGAGGCTGAGTGCATTGGAGGGAAGTGCCTGGGGCTGTATAATCTGTGGGCATCCAGGTGGGTAGTCCTCCCCCTGAACATTTAACAGAGAGAGAGAGAGAGAGAGAGAGAGAGAGAAGTGCCTCTCTTCGGCATGAGCAAAAGTTGCCACAGCAGGCAACTGAGTAGTCTCCAAGTTCTGCCTCCATTTTGGCATCAGGACACCCACAAAGCACACCTGTAAGCCACACCTGAACTCAAAGAGTATGAAGCCAGAACCTAGACAGGTAAGGCCAACCAGGCTCCTCATAGGCAACCTGCAGACACTGCAGAGTAGATGGAATCACCCAGAAGGCTCAGCGTCACCCACTCCTCTACCACAGGCCAGCAACTTCAGACTCTGGGACCACTCTCCCGAGACCCTCCGAGCCCGGCCATCCCTCTGGTACAACAGTGTGCCTTGGGCTTTTGTGTCCTCCCTGCACAACCTGCAGTTGCCGCCTCTGCCCAGCCTGCTGGTTCGCCCAGGACCCATTCTGCATGTGCCAAGTATCCCACAGCAGTGATACTTGGAGCATCCCTCTACGGAGAACAAGTGGACTTGCTCCTGTGCACTTGCTGTCTGCATGGGGAGCACTGGGCTTTCTGGGGAAAATTTTTGAGCCCTGGGTTTCTTCTGCCTGCCCCCTGCTTTAGGGTCCAGCTTCACACTGCAGTCAGTGTTAACCCATGGATCTCTGTGGTTCACCTCATGTCCTGTGAATGAAATTTCAATGCACTCTAATATCAGTTACAGCTTAACATTTTGATTTCCCAGTGAAATGATTACTTCAGAATTACTCCTTCCATAGTTTTGATTGCCTTGTTCCTACTTATGCCCCCAAACTCTAGGCCACTATGGTCTTAAGATATTCCTTAAAAAAAAGTTTCTTGATTTTTAGAGGGAGAGGAAAGGAGAAGACAGAAACATCAATGTGAGAGGAATACATCAATTGATTGCCTCCTGCTCACCCCCTACCCGTTACTGAGCCTACAACCTAGGCATGTGCCCTGACTGGGAATCGAACCAGTGACTTTTCGTTGCTCAGGTCAATGCCCCACCAACTGAGCCACACTGGCCAGAGCCCACCTTTTTTAATGATAGAATGAGTAATGCCTTTGAAATGCCAATAAAGTTCATTGAATGTTTACACTCCTGTAAAACTTCAAGCTGATATAATCACGAGATGGTTTGACTCAATTATTTTGTAAGAGACAGCCGCCACAGAGGAAATATTTTTCACGCACATCTTTTGTTTACTTTTGTTTTTAGTGCTCTGTTACATGTGAAGGGGGAACACAGAAACGATTCTTAAGATGTGCTGAAAAGTACATTTCTGGGAAGTACCGGGAGCTGACCTCAAAGAAGTGCTTGCATTTGCCGCAGCCTGACCTGGAGCTGGAACGTGCCTGCGCCCAGTTCCCCTGCCCCAAGCACCCCTTGTTTGCTGCCACAGGCCCCCCGCGGGCCACCTGGTTTGCCTCGCCCTGGTCTCAGGTAGGGGCCCTGCTTCCCACCTTGGCAACTGGCTCAGGCAGGGAGCTTCTCAGAGGGTATCAAAGCCCACTAAGCAGCTCCTGACCTTCTCTCCATGGTATGTGCAGGTGCCTGTGTTTCTTGGTGCCTGTGGCTTTCTGAAGAGGGTGCTCTACAAAAGCTGCAGAATATTTTAGGGCACATCTTCTTTGTTCTTAACAGTCACCCAATTAAGCATTGGAAAATGTCATGTTTTGGGTAAATGGTAGACAGAATTCCCAGAGGTGAGTGAATGGGGAAGAAATTGGGAACGAGTAGGTGGTTGTGAGATTATACTAGATTTATTACAAATTAAGTGAGAATAGAGGTCAAGACAGCCTGGAATGTCGTGTCCTGCCTGGGACTTCAGACTCGGGCAGCCCAGACCCAGAGAGGTACGCAGGGTGCTCTTGGGGCCTTTGGTGTGCCCAGCTCCTTGCTCCTACCACACTCCCTTCACATCTAAGGAGAATTCTGCTATTATTCTTGTTAACTCACCCTCCTTCCTCACCCTGTTTTCTGCCTAGGGCTCCTGGCAGCCCTCACACTGCTGAGCTCTGTCCCTTTTCTGCCTGTAGTTCTGCTCCTCTGCCCTTAGTTTTGGGTTTTTCCATGTCCCATGGCCACGCCCTCACTCCTCTGGCTCCTGCTGCTATTTCTGTTTCAGCTCTGTGGAGTTGACCCTCACCAGTGGGTTTCCAGGGGCTGACCCATCCCAGGTGGCCAAACCTGGGGCACCTGCACTACTTGCTTCTGCCCAGGAGGGAGCGCTTTGCTTTATTTTCAGTCACTGCAGGGAGGGGAAGGGAACATATTTTTGTCTTTCTAATCTGTTGACCAGTGGGCCAGCCTTCTTTGCAGAGTGGAGGCCCATCTCTGACTTTGTCCTTTCCAAAGAGATGAAAGTGGAGGAAGAGTGATGTAGTGTGCAGTGGTGACCAGCCTGTGTGTGCCCCTCTGCCAGACCCATCTTGTAGAGGATCCTCAAAACCATAGTTTCACACCCTGGGAAGCACTCTTGGATTCTCTGCTCGGAGCCTCAGTGCCATGGGCAGCAATAAAGGCAGTAACAAGGACGAACACCTGCTCAGAACCATGCCCCTCCCACCGCTGGCACTGTGCTAGGAATTGTGGGACTCCTAACTCATTTGTCCCTCCCAGCGGCACTATGAGGGAGATAACACTATCACCCCCATTTTACAGACGAAGAAATTGAGGCATAGAGACTCTGGTGTCAATTTCAGCTCACAGTCATCATGTACCTCTCCATGGTCCTGACAGCTCAGCTTGGTCCTAGGGACACCTACTCTATCTCACCTCCACTCTGGGCAGCAGAACACAGACCTGGTCAGAGCCCATGGTCCTCATGGGCACATGGCGGAATGTAGGCTTTTAAAAGGCAAATGATGTCATGCATGACCACAAACTTGTGGTTTTCCACCTTATAATCACCTTGGTCCTTGACCAGGATGTCAGAACCCTATCAGGTAACATTTCCACCAATACATCCAAGTTCAAATCCTAAATTTATCAGAAACACAGGAGTGTTGCACCACCAAATTGTCACAACACATGTATGTCCTCAGGGCCCCCAAGCTGGGCCTTCGATGACTCTAGCAGCTGATCCCAAATAGCACTGGGCTGGTGTCTGTCTTTTGTCACTTCCAAAGGAACTTCCATGGATCTTTGTCTTTCTCCAAAAATATTTCTCAGAACATCTACTCAATGCCTGGTGCCATAGAAACGACCCAGCTGGCAGCGTTATCACAGCTTTCCCTGCCCCCACAGTTGTTCTTGCCTGAACAGTGTCTGCTTGTCCTATCTGCCCATTTGCCCCCTCACTCACTCATCATGCCAAACTCTCCCTGAGAGCCTGCACTGGACACTGAGTGGGGATGGCTCTGAGCTCTCAGCATAACTCACCCATCCCACTATTAGTTGGGGTAACTCCCAAGTAATGTGCCGTACACCCCAAGTTCACCGAGGGGAAAGCTCTGAGGTCCTGTACTGGAAGGAAGCATGGAGAGAAAGTAGACTCTGGAGGGGAGACCCCTCTCGTGCTGAATCATGCTCTGTCTGCCCTCCAGCCCAGTGACCGGCAAAGATCAAGGCTGCCCACTTGAACATGAGCTGCTAGAAAACAGATATGGTCACAAAACAACCATTAAGACTGATATTTGCCCAGAGATATCTTTGTAACAGATGTTATACTAAGTGTTTTATATGTGCATTTTATACAATTGTATGTGTGTATATACATTTGTACATTATATGTATGTTTACGTGTATAGAAGCGCTCTCTCTCTCTCTCTCTCTCTCTCTCTCTCTCTCTCCTCTCTCTCTCCATATATATATATATATATATCTTGGACCTACCAGGGCACCTAACCCATACTAAGTATTTGGGGAGAATGTTTGCTAAATGTAAGAATTTTAAAGAAAAACAAATTCAATGAGTGAGTCATTGCAGCCACTTCTCATCCTTATGTAAAGATCTTTCTCTCCCAACACAGTCAAACCACACACTTTTCTCAGGGTTTTTGTTTACATTGTCCATTGACATTGTGAGCTCTATTGAGAGACCCATGTGTAGGGGTATAATCTTTAAAATTCAAAGACAATGCTTGCTTGCCAACTACCCATTTCCCCCTGCTTCTATGACTAAATTTAAAACAAACACCCATCTCACATGGCTGGTGTATGACAGGTGCGCGCGTGTGTGTGTGTGTGTGTGTGTGTGTGTGTGTGTGTGTTTGTAGAGGGAATGTAGCCAGACAAGTTCATTAAGAATTATCTATGGTTTACTTCCCAGTCATGCTGCTGTGTCCCCATCCCCACAGAAACCAGTAACTAAGTTTGATTTGTGTAAAAATTTTGTTAAGGATTGAGAATTCCTGCTATTGATCTGAGTTCAAAACTCAAATGAACAAATGTGACAGAGCAAAAATCACACATAATTATTGTCTTTAAGTCCAAAAGAAATATTTATCTGAACCAATTTAATCTATCATAGAATCTATTTTAATATTATCTAAATTTTAGCTAGAATAAAATCAGTTCAAAACCCCCTCTAAATGATGTCCCCCTCCCAGCCATTGTGTCAGAGCTCTGGCTGTGTCTCTGTGAGCCCAGATTTGGCTATTTATCAGCCAGCTTCTTACAAAATCATAAAATCCCAACCTGCCCATTGCCCCTCCTCTGGTTCCTCGGCCATAACTCCTGGTCCCATGCTCTGAGTTCTGCAGAAGCAACCATTTCCTCAGTCCTTGGGTAGGAAGAGGTACACCTTCCATAAGCCTTTCATACTGACCTTGGCTTATGTTCCAGCTCCACTGTGGTTCTCATTGTCTTCAAACTTGATAGATTTTTCATTTAGAAATGTATGAACTCCTCTCCAAAAGATATCCAAATTAGAAATAGTTTAATTTAAATTGCTGGGGCAAGGGACATTTGAAGTGTATTATTTTTAAGCATTCCCTGCTTTAAATCCACAAAAAAGTATCAATAGCTACAAACGTTTCCCTTTAATTTTCTTCTGAGTGCACAGTCTGCCCAACAAGATGAAGCAGTGGATGGGCTAAGGAATGGAATTGAGTTGTTCCTTTTTTAATTTTTTATTTATTGTCTAAAGTTGTACATATGTCTTGAGCTGTTTCTTGGGCAGGTGTATGCTTACTCTGTCCCTAGAGAATTGTGAGTGGAGACAAATAGAGGTGTTTCCGCAAGATTGTTGTCTCTCTGTTAGTAGGGAAACTGGATCCTGAAACAGGTTCCCCACCCTTTACCTGGCAGGCCACTCTGCTCAATTTGGAGACTTATAGGCAAATTTACGAAGAGGGGAGCAACACTCATCAGTATTTAATTTAAACCAAAACAAAAAGGCTAAAACACATCTGTAATAGCTTTTACCAGTTTGAAATACTCAGCCTGTTTGTCTAGTAAGTCACTTTTATCATATCCTGCCTAGCATGTATCCAATGTGATTCCTCTGTTATCTTCTGAGACTTTAACTTCTTGGGAGTGATAACTCTTACGGCTGTATTTGCCATAAGCACTTGTAGCCAGGACTCTGGGACTCAGACTGTGGGAAATTGTCAGGCTGTGATGTATGGCCAGTGCCTGGCTGAACTTTGCCCCCAGACAGGTTTATTCTTGTAACAGTATAAAGATTGTGGTTCTATTGATTTCTGTTTATTTAAATGGCTTTGCTTTTCATCAAACTTAATGGCTTGTCGCCTGGTAAGACTGATTTAAATTATTTGGGTCATTTGGGCTTAGGGTGGTTCACATTCTAATTTGGTCTGGGAATGGCTTCAGTGGGAACACCTGCTGGACTGTCTGTCTGGCTGAAGGACGACAGTGACTGCTAAGGCCACACACAAAAGTTTCAGGCCTTTGACAGGATGACTTGTTAAAACATCTGACAAATATGGACTCTATGCACCAGTGTTTTTAAATTTAGATATAACTGAAGTCAGTCCAGAAAAGAGAAGTGGGTATTGGCTGATGCAATCCTGTCATCTAGAGCAGTGGCTGGACTTAGAGCACCTGCAGCGTCTTGGTTAGATATGCAGTGTCAACCAGTGACTATTGGAGTCCATTCAACACCCACGGGAATCCGCAATTTGGAGTGCAGAGAAGAAGGAAACTCTATTCAGTGCAAACAGCTCTGTTGTGATACAGTCCAGAGTTTGAGTTGCTTTCTTTTGGACAGATAAATTGCCGCAGTTTGGGGTTCCTCTGTCTTTCTGAGCAACCCTCTCCTGATTTCTTGCCCACAGTAGATCTCAGATGACCCTGTCATATATTCTGTGTGTGTCCAGCCAGCCAGCTAGTAGAAGATGCTCTAATCATTCCATTGCATTCTCTAGCTCTGCTGTGCCATGCACCTTAAGAAACAGGGCCTTGGTGTCAAAGAACATTGCCCTTGGGAGGATGTAAATGCCATCACAAAATGAACCCAGGAAGCTGTTGTTGCCACTTCCAGGCATCCAGAGTCCATGAACTTGGGGTGGAGAAGGGTCTTAGTGTTATCAAGCCTCTGTGGGCGTTGGCTTGTCAAGAGTACCAGAAAGATGGCTTTGTGATGGCATCCATGAAGTTCCTTCATGCCAGAACCACAGCCTGGACAGATCCAGGGAAAGATGCTATGTCCCCAGATGTGTACCAGTTTCCTGTGTCCATCAACCCATGGATGACTTAAGAACATTATAAACTTCTGGGCACTTCTCCTCTCTGTCCAAACCTGAGATTAATCCAGAATCTAGTCAGCTACCCACCATCATAGAGAGAGAGAGAGACACCTTGTGGAGCCTGGGTGGAGGGGGATGCTTGGAAGAGGGGAGCACTCTGAGAACTGAGCAGCCCTGGATGACTGACACGCATGTGTTTCTCACAGTGCACAGCCAGCTGTGGGGGTGGCGTGCAGACCAGGTCCGTGCAGTGCCTGGCAGGGGGCCGGCCGGCTGTGGGCTGCTTCGTTCACCAGAAGCCTGAAGCCTCCCTGGCCTGCAACACTCATTTCTGCCCCATCGCAAAGAAGAAAGGTGAGTGCTGGGAGCCCCTAGGCTTGACCTTGGCATGTTGGAGGGGGCTGTCAAGTTTCTGGAGCCATTCCTTGGAGATCCTGAGGAAGTTGGGGTGCCACTGGTTAGAGAGCCCTAGAGTTCAGTTCTTGTCTCTGATACACCTTTTCTCTTTTCATCCACTCACCAGTTTTCCCATGAAACAGTCCTCATTTCTCACACCTCCCTAGACATGACATCTATGGTGGTTAATTTTAAGTGTAGCTTTAAGAAAGCATGATGTCTTTTCCTATATCAGTGCTATCCTCCTTATTCTTCAGGGACAAGTTACACAAAGGCCACCTTCTTCATCTTAAACTCCGTCTCTGTGCACAGAGCCTCCAATGCCTTTGCAGAGATCAACAGCCTGTCTCTGGAGGCTTCTCAGAGAGGAGATAGAGCTGGGGAGAGCAAGTGGGTCATCTCGATCAGAAAATTAATGGTTGAACTCCATCCACAGAGTGCCTATGCCTTGGGTGGATGAGTGGCTGAGTGGGTGGGATTAACACAAGAAGAAGAAAGTTCAGTTTTGCTGGGACCTACTAAGAAGGGCCTTATAAAAACAGCAGGTTACATGTGGCCCAATTTGACCTGAAGAGCTGCTACCCCTCAGCAGCTTCAAGACAATGACAAATTCACCTTGATTTGCCAGCGGAGTTACTAGCTTTTAGCAGTGGATATGGCATGGGGACATGGACTAAGGGGCGTTTGCTCATTTCTAGATGCCGTCTGCAGAGACCACCTGCACTGGTGCTCCTTGGTGCCCCAGCACGGGATGTGCAGCCACCAGTTCTACGGCCAGCAGTGCTGCGAGACTTGCTCCAAATCCAACCTGTGAGGGTGGGGCCCCCTCCCAGGGGCGGGGAAATGCCTGTTTTCAGCACCAACGAACTGTCCAGTTCACATGGGAATGCATCCAAAGAAGATGGAAACTGGAAGAAGAAAAACTGTTAGCTGTTAGGCTCTTTGTGCACAAGCGTGCACGTGTGGGGGTGTGTGGGGTCACCTGTGCACACACAAGCATATGGAGTCATGCTGGGTTGACACCTGGAGGAGGCAGCAGGGCTTGCTCTGCTGAACGGGAGCAGTGCTCCCTGTATGTGTATTTCAGCTATCAAGTCTGAAAGACAGTGGAGCTGAACTTGCTAAATGCTAATAAATGTTTGGTGCTCTGTAAAAAGAAGAAAGGCCACGAAATTAGGAACAAGTACAAAATTCTGCTGCTAAGTGTGCCGGCCTTCCTCCCACCTCCGGGGCTCCTCCAGAGGTTAGGAGTAACCAGCTTCTGACCAGGACAAGCAGGCGGCCTGGACAGATCTGGCTGTGTTCCCAGGGCCCCACTTCATGCCCTAGCAACAGAGTTTCTCTTTGCAAGGACTTGGTGCTGTGACAAGAGCTGGTGTTGTCTCTAAGGGGCACCTGCCTGCCCCGAGAGGTGGGACTCAGACCTGCTTTCAGAGTTTGCCTCTGGAAACAGGAAAAATTAAATTCCTGCTAAGGTGCTGTATCTCTTACAGACTCGGATGCTGGGGGAGAGGATTTTATATCTTAGGTTTTCTCTTTCGCAGTTATTTACAAGTGAGGATCTCTATTTAAACTGTTTCTTAGTGCTTTTCATTGTTAGATGACATAATTACAGGTAATACCATGATTAGTGGATTGTTGCCTGCACCACAGCCCTGCTGTCCTAGGAAGGGGTATGGGTGGTTCTCCAATGAATATGCCAACACGATAACCTTAGAAATCAGGTTTCATTTTTGTGCGTTGTGGGTTTTTAAACTGTTTTTCCATGAACGTTGGCTGTGTTTGTGAGGCCCATTCAGAGAGAAGGCACTGATTTCCTGGTGGGAAGCTGCCCCGCAGGCCCCAGCATCATCTGTCAGTGCGGGTGCTGCTGTCATTCTCCCTTCCCGCCACGCAGCTGTGTTCAGAATGGGCATCTGGATATTTATATTTGCTGAAGTTTTATAATAAATTTTATATTGTACAGTGTGATTCTGACTGCTCACGATTCTTCACAGGAGATTAAGTTTAAGGAATTAGCTCACATGGTTAAGGGGGCTGACATGTCCCATATCTGTAAGGCAGGTGGCAGTCTGTGCCCTGACCATGGGCTGGGTGAGGTCACCTCCTCCAGCTGCTCGCTGCCCTGGAGCTCCGGGAGTGGCTCACAGGCATGTGGCCGAGGCAGTGCCTGGAGTTGCCCGCTCCCAAGTCCAGAGCCCTGCTCTGCCCACTCCCAGTGCTCCAGAAATATCTGGCCAGTGGGCAGTCTCTTTCCGTCTGGCTCCAAAGGGGGCCCAGAAAAGCTCATGGCTGGTTCAGTGGAACCAGAAAGGCCAGAGTGTAGTTGTCTTTACCACCTAGTGTCTCTGCTTCCACAGGGAGGCCCCATATGACAGACAGCAGCAGTGGGGTGTATATGACACTTAACTGGGAAGGGAATGAATCATCCAGGACAACACCATCCACCACGCCTACTATGTGCCAGGCACTGTGCTTGCTTCTGTCCTAAACTGAACAAGACCCCTTCCCTGTGATCTGAATACCATCTACCTGTGTGACCTTGGGCAAGTCACTTTACCTCTCTGGTTTTTGGATTTATCATCTATAAAGTAATTAGATCTTTCAAACTTCACCAAAATTCTAAGATGCTACCTTTTCACTTGACTCGCTATTGTTAAACCAATACTTACCTGGAAGTCATGAATCAACCCTGAGAATGGATCTAGCTAGGCGGAGAATGTGCTCCTGCTCTGCATTAGAATCCAGACAAAGAGGGCTCTGAGGTTTTAGGGATGACTTTGGCCTATTGAAATCCTTATACTTGCACTCATATACTCACAGACTCCAGGTGGTGGCAGAGCAGAACTCGCCGATAGTTTTCCAAGAGGTCAGGTGGGTAGATTCCAGGCCAGGCCGTCCAGGAGTCTCTAACAGGAGCTGTGCCCAGGCCCAGGTGCCCACAGACTGGCCCTCACAGTGCCTTGGCTCCCTTCCCTGGTCAGGGCCGCAACACAGCCGCCTGGAACTCCCACTGTATCAGCATCCAGCCTGTGACTCACAGTGACAGGCATTCTTCTGACCTCAGGGGTTTTGATGGCTGGTCCAAGCAGCTGGCACCCCAGAAGGTCTGTGGTGGGATTACAAATCATAAGAGGTTTAATCTGAAGTCTGGACAGAGACTCAGTCACACCCGTGTGCCCTGGAACCAAGAGGCAAGTGAGCTTTGTGCCCTGGCTGGAGCCCAGGCCCCATGATCCTGCCAGGTGGACAGCCCGGAGCTGGGGAGGGCAGACAAACTCATTTCTGCCTGCTTTGCTTGCTCATCTGGTAGTTGCTGTCTCTTCAGGAGCTGAGGAGAGCAGGCCAGCCTCCCAGGGAAATAAGGCCAAAACCATCAAGATAGATGTGTGTGCTACATTTGTTTCCACGCTTTTCCCACAGGACTCTGCACTGTAGAGAGCCATTAGCTCTCACATCTCCTTCAAGTGGAAAATCATGCCTTCCCATGGGGGCTCACAAAGCTGTCCTCCCCCTGAAGAGGGCTCCTACAAATGCAGATTAGTTCCAGCTGGTCCCTTTGCCTTCTGTAGCTGGGCCACACCTACATACCCCATCCTGACACTTGGGCCTGCCCCTGAGGGAAAATGGACCAAATGTTTGTTCAGCTTTAACTCTCTCCCCTTATGTTTGAATGGAATGTTCTAGAATCTGTCTTATTTTGTCACACTTCTGCACCCTTCAAGATTACTCCCAGAACCTTAGATACCCTAAACCCCCCTCCTCCAGAACACTGCATGCTATGGACTGAATTGCATACTCCCAAATTCGTATGTTAAAGCCCTTACCCGCAATGTGACTGTATTTGTCGACAAGGCCTGTAAGGAGGGAATTAAGATTAAATGAGGTCATATAGTGGGACCCTAACTGCATGGGACTGGTGTCCATAATAGAAAAGGAAGAGACACCAGAGATAGCCCCTCCCCGCCACCCCTACCACACACACATCTCACTGGTATGCTGGACTTGGCTTCCTCCTGAAAAGAAAAATACATGAAAGTCATAAAAAGGCTTTGAGAAGTTGAAACCCTATAAAATGTAAGATACTGTTATGATAGTGTCCTCATGACTCAGGCATGAATAATGACCGCTTTAGAAAGCAATCTCTATGTGCACATCTCAGATCTCCTTAAATCACACCCCAGTTGCTATCTTCTGACAAAGGAAAACACAGCTAGTTATTGAAGACACCTTTCTTTTCTCCTCCTCAACCGTGGCATCTTACTAACCAGCCCCCAGGCAGTGGGTATGACAGAACACCGAGTAAGCATTCTTTCTTACCACAGAGAGGATTTCCAGGGAAAGGAAAGCCTGCTCTCCCGGTTTGCTTCAGTCGCTGTGTGCCAGGGCTCTCAGGCTGCAGGTTGTGCTTTGGTTTGGATTGCATGGGGCATTCTTTGTGGATGTTCTCAGATCATGGCCATCAGGAGGACATTCTCCAGCAGCTCAGCTGCCAATCCTTCACACCAGAACCACATAGTTTGTGGTTTCTAGGGTCACAAAGCCCAAGAAATGTTCATTCCACGAATTCCCTCTGATTTCTCTTTCTCTTAACAAACTCCCTTTCACCTAATTCTATCCACTCTATGTCATGTGAAACATTCAAGTTTTGAAATGTCCAATAACATCATGTGATCACCAAGGCTAAAATTGTCAGAGGTTTAATAAGCATTTAGATAAATTTGTTCAATTCAGTTCATCTATAACTCATGTGAGCGCCTACTGTGTGTATGGATGACATGGTGTTGTCCTTTGAAGACATAGGTTAAGTGTAAGATTCACTCCTGTCCTGAGCTGCTAATTTTATCATGGACATGAGTTTGACAAATGTGAAGCAATGAACATCTAACATAATAGCAGATATAAATAAACATTGAAATGAATATGCTGAGGTTATAACTGTGGTATAGGCACTGGGTTTGGAGGGAGGATGAGAAGAAGAAGCACGTATAAGGTCCAGTGGAACATGCTGGCATCTGGAGGAAAGGGTAAAGGGTCTCCAGGCTGATGCAACAAGATGGCAAAAGAAACAACATATCAAAAGTGTGCATAACCAGTGACACATGCACACCATCTCTGTACACAGCAGGCATGGGGCAGGGGAGGGGCTAGATAGGGCGGGCACCTTCTCTCACAGGTCCTGTGTAAATGGAAGCTGGGCTGGAACTGACTCCAAAAGAAAACCCTAGACCTTGTCAGTCATTGAGCAAAGGCCAGACCAGTCAGGAAGCTGAGTCATGTGACTTGGCAAGGACAGCAAGGGTAAAACAAGGAGTCCAGGCTCAATGATGTGGTGAAAGACTGAGGTGGGAGTGGGTCATCAGTAACAGAATTAAGGAGTAAATTACCAAAAGTGGAGAACATAAAAGGGGCCACATGAACCTCCAACTTCCTGAGCCCCTGGAAAATTGAGGAACCACTTGTGATCATAGAGGACCCAAGGCTGCACGGGGCTGACCACAATCTGACCACCTTTCTTCTGGAATCCTAATTCCCCTGAACTGATTATATGACTTAGGGTATTTCACGAAGTATCAAATGTAATGTCCAAGGTTTCTCTTTAAGCTGATAATGTGTTTTCCTTTAGGAGTCAGGGTTTGCCTAAGTTGGCGCCGGCACTGGGGGGCAAGATAATGCTGCACCATGAATGATGATTCTGCCATTGCAGGATGGTTAGTGCTGTGTGCCGCTTATCCTAACAGAATGTCGCCATGCCCTCCAGCAGTCGTGAGTTAAAAGAACACACCATACCTTCCCAATGCTCCTGGGGGATGGGGCTTTGTTCTGCTCAGCTAAAGGAACATGTGCGTGTTGCTAACATAAGTCTGGCCCAAGCCCAGATGTCCAGTTTAAGGGGCTCAATTTTCACCTGTTCAGAGGAAAAAAGGAGAGGAGAACTGTAAAATAAATAATTACACTTCAGTAACGGAAGCATGTAAAATATGGAGTTCGGAAGCCCTAAGGATGTACAGAGAAGGTATGGGATGGCTCTATCCTCAGAGCAGAAACTGGAATTAAGTCTTACATGGTAAATAAAAGGCCAGTGCAATTCAGGGGTGGCACAGGGTTGTTGTAAAATATGTTTCCTTACAGAGGACACATGAGAATTTTTTAAATACACAGCATTTGTGTCAATTGTCAAATCCTTTTGAACATGACAGCTAAAATTAACAAAAAGGTTAAAATATATTTTTTCAGTGAAAACCACCCCGAAATAACTATAATGGAACTCTGAAATTAGGGTAAAAAGTAAGTTAGATAATATTTCAGGTTTTCTATTTATTATAAAACTTCAACCAAGACAATTCAATGGGGAAAGAATAATCTTTCTAACAAATGGTTCTGGGACAAGTGGATATCCACATGTGAAAGAATTAAGTTGGACCACTACCTCACACCATATGCCACAATTAATTCCAAATGCATCAAACACCTAACTAAGAGCTAAAACTATACAACTACTAAAAGATATAAATCAGCAAGATCTTGAATTTGGCAATAATTTCTTAAATATGACACAAAAACCACAAGCAACCAAAGGGAAAAAATAGATAAATTAGACGTCATCAAACTTATAAACATTTGTTCATTGAAGAATACTATCAAGAAAATGAAAAAGATAACCCAAAGAATGAGAGAAATATTTTAATCCATATATTGGTAAAGGTCTAATATTCAGGATAAAGACCTCTTAATAAGGAGTTAAAGAACTCTTAACAACTCAACTACTTAACAATAAAAAGACAGATAACCCAATTTAAAAATTGGCAAAGGATTTGAATAGACTCCAAAGAAAGCATACAAGTGGCCAATAAGCACACACAGAGAAAAATGTTAATCATCAGTAGTCATTAGGGAAATGAAAATCA